CTCACGCTCCCCCCGTGCCTCCTCAGGCCCCTCACGGTCCCCCCTTACAGCCCCACCTGTGCCCCTTCGCTGCCCGCCCAGTCACTCCTCTATACCCAGTCCTCTTTAAAGAGGACATTAAAGTATCTCCCTGTGCCCGCGGTCCCGCACTGCTCGCCCCTGGCACTCTCCTCAGTGCACAGTCCCGCCTGCGCCCACTCGCAGTCCCCTGTGTCACTCCTCACAGTCCCCGCATGTCCCCTGACCCCCACACGTCCTCTTAATGCCAGTCCCTGTCACTCCCCGATCTCCTGTCTCCTCATGTCGCATCGCAGCCCCTCACTGCCCCTCCCTGTCATTCCCCTCACAGTCCCCCTGTGGCCCCTCACTGTCTGCCCCTGTCACTCCTCTCACAGTCCCCCCATCCTCACTTTGTCACTTCAGTGACAGCTGCCTGAAAGAGCAAGACTTCCCCCACCCTCACAACTGGCAGTGGGACTAGGAGTGAGAACATCTTTAAGGAGGTTTCCGGGGAAGAACAGCTAATATAAACAGTACAGAGAGTTGAAGGGGAAAAATGTGGCAAGGTCACACCAGCCTTGCCAGACAGAGCAGCGGGAGGGGGGAACCAGACCCCCAGGTAGCTGCAGAGGGGTTTTAGGGAGCAGATTGTATCATCCCCTGTGGCTGGCAGCATCAACTCTTCTTCCTAATAGTGCCTGGTGATCGCTGGGAGACACCTTTGAAACTTGGGGACACATCTCACTGGGGCTGCAACATGCCTTTGACACCTTCTCCAGGGAGGGAAGAGCACAAACCCCTGGTACGGACATCTGGAGCTTTCAGCCATCTGGATCCTGCATCAGCTCCAGGGCTAAATGGGTGCCACAAAAGTGCATCAATTCCCTTCTGCCCCCGGGAAAGCATGAGAAGGGAGGAGGATTTAAATTAAGCCGGGGATTATATTAATACTGGCCTCAGTGATCTGTCAGAAGAGATGAGGAACAAGGGGAGCTTAGCGGGGTGAGGAGCAGCTAGGCAGCACAAGGGGCCAAGGTTGAGGCTGTTGGCAGTAAGGGACCAGGGCAGCCCGGGGAAAATGTGGGAGCTCCAGGGGTGTGTATTTCAGGCACCACTGTACACAGCAGCCCCAGGGCAGAAGCGCAGGATGCTGCTGGTACCAGTGAGAGACGCAGCCTGCCCCACCCACTGGGAGATCCCTCCAAACCACTCCGAATCCCCATGCCAGCTCTGTCAGGACCATGCATTGCTGGAATGAGCCTCTGAGCATGGCACACTTGCCCCTGACAAGTTCCCTTTGCCTGGCAGACAGTCCTGTTATTTTCCAGTATTTATTGATTAGGGTTCTGATTTAGCGTGTAAGGGGCGAGCCCTGATCCTGAACAAGAAAGAGCCACCACAACAGATCCCGCCAAGGCAACTGAAGCATGGTGCTCTGCTGGAGCACTGTGCTATGCTCTGCCTTCCTGCAGCACCTCTGTCAGGCCTGGCAGCCACCTAATCCTCAGGGGATGCAGCCTGCAGGGTTTAGGGAGGGCAGCACATCCCTGCAGCTCAGCCAAAGACGCCACATGGCCAGTGACCCCAGCTGACCGTGTTCATGCTCTAGGGGCCCCTGTGTACCTCCAGGGTAATCCGTGGGTGCTGGCAGCTGTTGGAGTCACTTGCTCACCTGAACAGGGATGTGCCTGGTCTGGTTTGGCTCCCAGTGGCTGGGCAGTCTGGTTGTCTTGCTGACTTTTTGGCACTCGTGGTGGATACCAGTTACCCACCAAGCTGTTCTAGCACTCCTTTCCTCAGCAGGATAGGGCAGGGAGAAGGTAAGATGGAAAAGAACTTGTGTGTCAAGATAAAGGAAGATTAATAAAGCAAAAGCAAAAGCTGCATGCAGAAGCTGTGGAAAGCAAAGGATTTATTCTCTACTTCTCATCAGCAGGTGATGTCCAGCTGCTTTCTAGAAAGTAGGGCTTAAGCTCTTACAGTGGTTGCTCTGAAAGAGGGTTGTCTTCTTGTGTCTACAGCAATTATATTGAAAGCCTTCTTGGGATTTCCTCCTCTTAACAGCTCTCTTCCCTCTCACATCTCATGCATGGGCTTTCTTCTTAAAGCTGGGTTCACCACCCTACTCCTTGTTGTCCTCCCCTGCTCAGGTGAGAAGAAACAGAGTACACCACATGCATCTGGGGCTCACTCTCCCTCTGACCAGGACAGGAGGGGACTGACTTCTTGGGGTGCTCCTGACAGCCAAGACAATGGCTTATAGGGATGAGGAGGGACAGATACTTCATCAAAGTTCTGGAGCCAAGAAAATGTTTTCTTCACAGCTGGTGTTTTCATATCTGGACAATACATTGCTGCCAGACTGCCAGAATGACACTGTGGCACTCTGAATCACATTCCTCCACACAGCCCGTGTGCACAGAACACCCTCTGGATCTTTGGAGACATCATCATTGTCTAGATCACTGTAGATAACCTCCAGCACAACTTAATTCTCTCAGGTGCTGGATGTCTTCATCTGTGCTGATCTATTTTCCTTAGTTCACAAGATCTTCCCTGAATAGATATCTTGCCCTCACACTTGAGAGGAGCTGCCTGCAGAGACTGTAAATTGCTGCCACAAACCCCCAGCTGTTAATCAGTACTTTTAAACAGCCCATGTAAGGGTGAGCAGGGACCTCATGAGCCTGCACCATAAAGCCACCCACATCAATCCTGGGTAAGGAGAGGGAGATATATTCCCTGATCCTCTCCACAAGGCAGCTCCCCCAGCAGAGCAAGGCCGTCATTGCCAGGGCAAAGCACAGAGCCATGGTTTGTACTAACATGTTCCCAAAGCCCAGCAAAGTAAAGAGATAAGACATGCAGCCAACAAACACTGTGACCCAACAGGAGCTGCCTACTTAGTAACTACTATGACTAAAGCACACTTAGCACAAGTTAAGGAATGGGCTTATCTGGGCATGACCTTGTGCTGGTGGGAACCCTCTGGGAGCAGCACTGCCCTGGCCCCATGGGCAGGATAGGACCTTGCCTGTGATTCCTGGACACCAGTGGGATTTGTCTGGAGATGGGGACATGGCCCAGGAGCCATGTGCTGGGTGAGCAATACCAGGGCTGTGGGGGCTGCACTGGGGCAGGGACTCTACAGGGTGCAGGGCTGCTTCAGCATGAGAGGTTTTACTCCCCTGGCTCAGCTGCATCCCTGCAGAGAGGCTGCAGCACGTGTGCGACTGCTTGGCTCTCACTGCCAGCTCTGGGAGTTAGGGCAAACAACAGGAAGCTGGTGCCAAGGTGAGGAGCCCTGATCCAGCTTGGACCCCCTGCCGGCCTGTGGTCACACAATGCTGCCAGCTCATGCCCCCCCATTAATTCACCACACGTCCCGTGCTGCAGCTGGGGCTTGGGCCTCTGCCTTTGTTCCAGCCCCGGTGCACGGCTCTGCAGCTGCTTCTCCAAGGCGTGTGCCCGGCAGCAGCTCCAGCCCGTGGCGTCTGCTCTGAAACACTTCCCAGCACAGGAACCTCCTGAGCAGTCCTGCCACCCCTAGCCTTGGCCACTCCCTTTTGCCCTGAGCCTACAGCTCTGAGCAGGTTGCCAGGTACCCCATCATCCATTTACCTCCCCAGGAAAGAGCTCCGTAGGTGGAGCAAGATGGGGAAGACTCCATCATTCATCCCCCTGTACCCCACACAGCTCAACCTGCCCTAAGGAAGTGACCTGTGTTGTTTTTGTGAGCTGGTCTGAGGCAGCAGTGAGGAGGACATGCCTGGGCTGCCGAGCTGCCTCTCAGACACAACACTGCAGGCAGGGGCTTGTCCCAGCTTCAGTGCAACCACAGGCCTGGCAGTGGCTGTGCCACACACCACTGCCCTCACCTCCCCGCCCGTCCCCAGCTCTTCCCCAGAACCCCTTGGCTGGTTTTTAGGGACATGTTAAATGACAAGGTGGCAGAGCAGGTAGCACCATAGGAGGCAGCACCAGACATAGTTTTACCCTGATGTAAGTGCACAGACAGGATGGTCCTTCAGGACACAGCACAAGGCATCTGTTGCAACATGCTTATCTGCTGCCCATGGCTCCGGAGCTGGTTCCTGGAAAACCACAGAGGAGTCTGTCAGGCACTGGCTCAGAGCCGGGCAGAGGGGAGCTCAGCCAGTGCTGCCACAGACTCTGCTCTGGGACCCACAGAAAAGGCACATGGCAGCAGGGCAGAAGAAGGGGACAGGACCTGGACAGGGGGATGGAGAGAAGCTGCTCCTGTTGCAGTTCTGGAGGTGCCTCTGCCCTGCTTGAAGGTGATTCAGGGAGAAAGTGGCAAAAGATTGAATTCCCAAGCTGACCCTGCACCTCACCCTCTGTGCCAAGCTGGTACCCTGCATCATGCTGTGCCCAACCTGGCCCCAGGTTCCCCGTGGTCAGCAGGAGATTCCCATACAAGTTCTTCCAGGCAGGTTTGGGGCTGTGATATCACAGGGTGCCACCAGCACTGGCAGTGCGGCACACAGGCTTGGGGACAGCAGTGTCCAAGAAGAGGACACTGATCTCTGCCCTGTCCAGACAGAGTGAGATGACAATTCCTTATCCACCATGGAAAGCTTTTGATTTTGTTTTTCCACCCCTCACATTATGAAGGTGCATGAGCAGTCTCAGGTACCCCTGGTAAACTTCTGTCACGACTTGGGCATTGGGTGCATCCCCGCTATGGGTTTGAGCCCCCACCTTATTTTCCCCTCCATTTCCTGGGATGTCATACCCCAGCTGTTGCCTGTGGAGAGGAATAAATCATGGAGAGGGGGATATGCATTGGGAAGAGGGGAACAAAATGGCTTTTCATGCCATAATCCTTTGTAATAAAACACCAGAGGCAAGAAAGATGATAAACAATGTCTCCTGTGTGAGCCAGCTGCTTCCTAAAATAAAGCGCTCCTCTGCTCCGTCAGCTGTCCCGGCTGGGGTGCGAGTGCGGGCGCTGCCGCAGAGAGCGGAGCCGCGTTCCCGCAGGAGCACATGCTGCCGCAGCTCCGGGCACGGCCCCTCAGCCCCCCGGGAATCTGCAGAATGCAGCGGGGGGAGCCAGGAGTGAGCGCTGAGCTCCGCTCTCAGGAGCGGGCTGCAGCCCCCCGAAGGGCTCAGCAGCACCCGTGTGCCCGGCCCAGGCACGCAGCCAGGCTGCTCCCACCTGCGCCAAGCAAGTGCGGGCAGCGCGGGGCTCCAGGGCCGCTCCGTGCCTGACTTCCCGGCTCTGTTTAGAGCCAGGTGCTGGCAGGAGCCTGCTCTGAGCAGGAAGCTCTGCGTGCTCCCGGTTCATCGCTGCTCGTGCTGAGCCCTCCTTGGCAGAGGATGAGTAAGCTCCTGCCGGTAAACCTGACCTGCAGGGCACAATTTCAAGAGCAACAATAACTTTTGCACTGCCGGGGAAGGTGTTGGGTTGTGCTGAATGTGTGAAGCCCACAGGCCAGTTTCCTAGCACAGGTGTCCAAGGGTTTCTGTTTCACCCTGTGGATGCTTTTGTGGGTGCAAAGGGACAGTGGCTTTCCCTTCCCATGGTTGTGGGTGTTCTTTAGCACAGTTCTCCTTTCCCACCACTTGTCCACCAGCTTGTCCATCCACCCATCCTTCCCATGTCACTAAGTGGCCCCATCACACACAACTCTCGCACACCATGGTGGCCTACTATCAACTCCTTTGCCAAAGGACTGTGGCCACTAGCCCACACAACACTTTCATTTCTCCACTATTGCTGCTTCTCTTCTTTCTTCCTCTTTTACAGCCACATCTTTCCTCTTTAACTATCCCCATGTACAGATAGATCCTCCCCAAACACTCCCAGCCGAGGTTTTCCCTGGCAGCTCATGCTTGCTGCCCTTGGCTTCCCCTCTCAACCTCAGCCACCATGGGGTGGTTTGAGCTCTGTGCTTTGCAATGTGTCTGTGCAGACAGCAGAGACCTGGCAGGAAAAGGCCAACCCAAGTGGCACAGAGGAGGTGGCATGTTTTCCCCAGGGATGCAGGGAATAGGTAGGTGGGAATGGGCATGACCCACCCATTGGGGAGCTGCATCATTCACCTGTCTGTGCAGCCTGGCTTCACCTTATCCTGTTTGCTCTGGTGCCCAACACACACCTGTAAAAGGTTTTTTTTAACCATCCAGAGTTCAGGTTGAGGCTGGCAATTTCCTTCCATCCAGGAGTTGCCTTAGGCCTTGATCACTGACACCTCTTGGCTCTCACCATTTTCTGCTGCAGTTCTGGGAGCTGCCAGACGGTGAGTGGAAGAGGGAAAAGTCTTGCTGCCAGAGTGCAAAAGCCTCCCTAGCCCCAGGTGAGTTTTGCTACAAACCAGTGTGGTGCTGTGGGACATGAGGAAGTTGCCACAGACTGGCAGGGAGCCGTGGGGCACAGGGGAGCTCAGTCCAGGGCCATGCACAGGCTGACTCAGGCACCTCCTGCCAGAGATGTGGTTATGATCCTCCACATGTGTGTGTTGGGCCAAATCCTCTCCTGAGTCAGAGGGAATGGAGCAGTAACAGGGGCAGACACCCATCCCAGCCACAAGCCCTGATCTGAATTCACCTTTTGCTGCTGGTCACCAGGTATTTACCCAAATTCCTCCTGATGGTGACTCAGCCTTCTCCTCCCTCCTCTGCAGTGAGGCCACAGCTCACCATCTCATTGAGCATGGGAGGAAACCGCCCAGAAACAGCAGGACGGGCCTCAGCATGGATTATATTCTCCTGACATTGCCAAGAGGGGCTGACATGGGTAACTCACCTGGTGCCCAGCGAGGGAAGGGTCATAGAGCCCTGCCAGGAAGGCCCAGCTCCTGGGATGGCATCCTCTGTGCATGGGGGCCTGCTGGGGCAGCTCATGCTGCTCAAGCCACCACATTTCTAGGGGACATCAGTCTGGCAGGTGTCCTGGCCTCCCACACGCCTGGCAGCTGTGGGCCCACACGTGCCAGGGTGAAAAGGTTAAGGTCTGGGATAGGGAGGGAAAGTGCTGATATTAAAGGCTTTTCTGTAATGGTTCTCCTCTTACTGGCTCAAACTCTGCTGTCAATAGGGTCATTTTGGACACTGGTTAGCAAAATAGGTAGCTCTTTACCCTCAGTCTTGAGGATAGGGCATTTAGGTGTGTAGATAGGGCATTTAGACAATGTGTTCTGGTACTTTCTGTGCACCATTCTGGCAGGGATGTGGCTGGAAGAAGTGCCTAGACTGCCCTCATTTTAGGTGGACACATGGAGATGTGTTTGCTGGGGAGCTGCTGCCAGCTGCAGCTGACATTCCTGTGTCTGGGCTGGGACTGCCAGCCCCTGGGGTAACTTCCTTGGGGCACAGACCTGACTGTGCCAGCACTTAACCCCTTGTCTAAGCCTGTATTGCTACATGCCTGGCTTGGATACAGTGAAAAAGCAACCCAAACCCAGATGCATCAACACCTCTACAGCTCCCCAAGATGAGGGTTCCACAGGCTGCTTCCACAGACTCAGGGCCAATGCTGGAGTGCCACCAGCTTCTGGCACCAGCCATCCTGCCACGTGGAGCAACCCACAGCCCTGGCCCTGCCTGGCAAACCAGCTGGGTCTGTAGGATTGGGGTGTCCAGCACCCCTGGCAGGCTCTGCTGCCCTTGTGCACAGCGCAGGGTGAGGGGGAAGTCATTGTTAGCACAGCGGTGCCAGGGAGGGGACACTCCTGCTGTGGCCTTGCAGATGTCCATGTGACTCAGGGAGAGATAAGTACCCTGGTGCTTTACCCTGGTGCTTTTCCATGCCCGCAGAGGGACCCGTTGCAGCATGCAGCAGGGAGAGGCACAGGGCGGTGTCAGGAGCAGCCAAGGTGCTGTGGGCAGCCACTGAGACCTCCCTAAGCCCAAAAGCAGCACTGAGGAGGGGAGATGAGCACTGCTACTTTGTGTTTCCATCACAAAATCTTCACTTGGTTCAACTCAGCCTCTGGCTCTCAGGGATGAGGAAAGGGTTCAGGTTGGCCTTACCTGCCTGCCCCTGCACCATGAGAAAAACCACCTCTGAGCAGGGGCACATTGTCATCCTGACAAACCACCCTAGCTGACGGCACTGGGAGATGATTCCCACGTGTATGATAGGGTTCTGTCCTGGGGACATCAGGGTGCTGAAGGGGCACAGCCACCCTGGTATGTGCTGGGTTTCTCAGTGCTCAGCCCAATGTAGCAGCAGCCCCAGCTGGACCTCTGCATTGCTCCCCACTGCCCTCACCCCACAGAAAACCCCATATGCTGCCCTGACAGCACACAAACACCAAACTCGTACCTGCAGCTCTTTCAATTCTGCTTTTTAAGGGGTGGAGGCAGTGGCAACCACACAGGCAGTGTTATTTGCAGTCCTTGGCAGGCAATGTGGGTGGAGGCACCAGGCAGATAGGCACCATGTCCAGACAGGCGCAACTGCCCCGTGTTTGTCCCCAGCTGACCAGGCTCATTAGGAGCACTGACCAAAACGGTTAGCTGGCAAGTTTTGGCTGGTCTGCCTCCACCTCCTTCATAAGTGGCCTGGTGTGTTCACTGACCCTGCAGGCCAGGTAGAGGTGAGGAAGTCCTGGCCATAGCCAGGAAGCCTCAGCATAAACCTGGAGGCATTGTCAGAGCTTACCCACACTGTGCTGGCAGCCAGTTGCAGGACCCAGGGATCTCTACCCCTGCAAGGCAGGGCTGGGAACAGCCCAGAGAGTACCAAGGGATCTACTGCATTCAAACCCATCCTTACAGGGCTGCAAAAACCACCTTCAGTCAAGGGTGGAGGTTGGCTCAAGGGGAACAGAAGGGCAGTGCCATACAGTGACAGGAGAACTGTGCTCCAAGAACTGGGTGGGCAGAGCTGGCCTGGCCACCACACCAGCAGGACCCAGGCCAGCAATATCCACTGCCAGCACCTCCAGCCATGCTGACAAGGCATCAGCCCAGCTCCACAAGGTTTTAGGCAGGGGACACCGAATTTTCCAAGGCAGGAGGCTCAGCCCTCACATGGGCAGCAAGGCCCAGGTTAGCATCTGCTTCTAAATGCACAAAGAAACCACAATGGTGGTGGAGCACAGTGGCCATGGTCATGCCAGCAATGCTCCCTCCGAGCTCCCCCAGGAACCAATCCCCGAGCAAACACCAAGCTGGATTCACCCTGCAGGGAACCATCCCACATCGCCCTCTGAGCAACACTGAACTACCAGCACTGCTGCAGCACCCGGCAGAGACCTTCCCACCCTCCAGGGCAAGCCAAGCTACAGCCGGAACCTTTGACAGGGAAGAAGCCACGAGCCATAGGTAGATCATTACAATTTTTTATTTTATAATAAACTTCTTATTTTTCCCCAAGGAAGACAAAAAACTGTGAGTGAGGCTACAGAACACTGTCAGTGAAGAAATATGCAAGACAGACCCAGGCTGGAGGTGAGGCCACAAAGGTTCCCCACTCCCCCAGGCAGAAGGGGTCCGTGCCCAGAAGCCTCCATGGCCCTTGCTCATCTTCCCACTGCATCAGAGCAAGATCAGTGCTGTCACAGGAGGCAGCTGAGCAGCAGAGATGGCATCAGGTCAGGCTACTGATGGACTGAGAGGACCACACTTTGTCCCCCCACCTGCCAAAGCTGCCAGCAAAGTGGGACAGTGTGTTAGGTGATACAGCTGTTTTCTATACATGTATGTGATGTAAATTTAAAAAAACCCACATGATTCATTTCAAAGCAAAATAATTGAGTAGTTGCTCCTCCTGCCAGGCAATCGCTCTCTAGGAAGACTTCACACATTCCTTCTCCTGCTCAATAGCTGCAAGAGAATAGAGGCCCATTAGTCTCTAGTGCTTCTTTTTTGTGGAAGCACACACTGGAGAAGGGTTTCAGAGGACTCACTCAGGCCCTGGTGGCCAATTTTGTGGTTTAGTCACAAGTGGGGTGGTTTAACAGTCAAGTTAGAAGATGACAAGCCACACGTATGCGTGGCAGCAAGTCGGGCACCTGTCTGTGTCTGTCCGCAGGAAAATGATGCCCTGAGGAATCAGTTTAGCTCAACAGCCCTCTCCGAGTGCCCATGCCCGCTGCCCCGGGCTGGACACACCTCTGCCCGTGGCTTTCCCCGCGCCAGGGCGCTGCCGCCCCAAACCGCCCCTCTTCCCCTGATGCCTGACCGGCCCCCGGGGACACTGCCCCGCCGCCCGTGCCTCCCGCCCCGCCAGCCCCCGGCCCTGCACTCACTCTCCTTGGAGGGCAGCGTGTTCTTCTCCTCCGTGTTGGTTTTCTTCAGCTTCTTCTTGTCGAATTTCTCCACCTCCGAGAGGTCTGGTTTGTCG